AAGTTGAGATTCAGAGAAAAAACCTACGAAGTTATGTGAAGTACAGAGCTTGTTTTTATGAGCCTCTCACGCCTTCTCACTTCACAGGAAATCGCATGCATTCATTTGGGAATGGAAAATACTTGAAAAAAATACTCCTTAAAATACTCTGTTATCATTTCCCTGCATATCTACCTCTCTGAGATGGCCCACCAAGCATCCCACTCTGTCAGTTCAATTCTCTTTGTAAGAACAGTCCTCTTTTATAAAGATAGATTTTTCACAAAACGATTTCCATCCTGAATAACAGCGCAGCTGAGGAAATCTCCCTACCAAAAACTGTTCACCACTTGGACGAATGCGTGTTTTCTTTCATATACCCACTCACTCTTCATCCTTCATGACCGCAGTTATTGTAGGTCATTTTTCATTTCAGACTCGCGTATGTTACACGGCAGAATCGGCTCCTACAAAATTCGGCGATTCTACACTCCCCTTCTCGCAGTACTTCATTGGTGTAGTTTATTTCAACATCGGAAATCTGTTTTTATTCGAGTTTGTCTTATATTTTAGACTACCGATAATAAATCATTTGTCATTTACACCAATGATGCTTAAAATTACATCTTGATAACAAAAACCAAGCGGAATCAACCAACCTTCATCTAGAAATAACACCGAACAAATAAACAGACTGCTTAGACAAAGAAAAACATTAACACACCAACCTCAGCAGTAGGTGGGCATCCAGGAACATAGATGTCAACCGGTATAATACGATCGCATCCTCGAAGCACCGAGTATGCGTAGTGATAGTATCCACCTCCGTTGGCACACGAACCCATTGATATTACCCATCTGAAACAAGGGAAAATCAATAACACAACAAAAACGAAACCACCAAGAACCAGCTTTGCATGGCCGCGGCAGAGATGAAAACTGGAGCGAAACATACTACGATGAGAAGCAACACCGTAAATAACAAGCAAATGTTAATTTTACTTCCTAATAGCACTCGTTTTCAAGTAGCAGCAAACATAAAGGACGAAATTTGTACCAATGACACCATTGTGCGCTGTAACTACATGTACCTAATTGAAGATGACGAATTCCCACGCACTTTTTGCTCTTTTGCCGTTCCTTTGACTGGACTTCACTGTGAAAAAGGTACTTTTGTCAGCAATCATATTGACCAGAAACACAACCTTTTGTCCTTTTTATTGACTCTCTTCTTATCTCTACAGCGGCTTCACCACATGAAACGCCACAGAATTTCTATGTAAAATAAGTCTTTTACACAAAATTCCTCCTATACAATTTTCAATCTTATTTTTGATGATCACGATAGCGGAAAACCNATCTCCTTACGAATTTCAATCTTATTTTTGATGATCACGATAGCGGAAAACCACAACAGAAACAACAAAAAAAACAAAAAAAAAAAACATTTCGCCCCCCCCCCACACCTAAGAAGGAAACTAAACTGATTTTTGGACCACTAGACTCTTGGAGTTCACCGTTTGCATAATGTTTTCATGCTTAATTCATGGAAGCGGGAACCAGAGTAAAACCGTCGAAACGAGACTAATTGAAGAAGCGAATAATCTGAGGTGGAATCAATTAGTAACCACGACGTGAAAACGAAAGCGATAATATGGAAGTACCCGAGTGTTTTTTCCAATTATATTACTACTATTTTTCCTAATTATGATCATATTATTACGAATTTTACTTGAGTTGTTAACTTCAGCTCCGTCGCGCAAGTTACAAAAAAATTGAACCATCACAACAATCTTGCTCTCCACACGGGTTCTTCCAAAAGGCCGAATTACAACAAGGAGAAAACTGGCAACATGCTAACATGACCACAACAGTGAGTGGAATCTCCCGCACTCCCGTGGCCTCATCAATGCAAAGCATTTTCGCCTGAACCAATCCTTAATAAGGGATAGGATCAAACCTAATAAGAAGACCACATCCGGATATACATAGTTTGGGAAGAGATGTAACTAGTGATAATCCATCTTTCCACTTGAAGATCCACACTATAAGACAACAAACATAGTGGACGCCGTAACGTTCTCATCCATTAAACTAATCAATACGAAGCCGGCCTCAACCAGGAAACCGATCGATGACGCCCATATCCACCCCTAACTTCTGCCTTCAACTAAAATAGCTTCTAACAGCTACTTCACAACTGCAACCTGAAAGATCAAGAGCAACTTCAAACAGACGAATCACGAAATCACGAGCAGACGTCGGGGACAACTTGGCCGCGTTACGAAACTACAGGCTAATCCGAATTCGATCGAATATTTATGATGCCCCTGCGACGTTGTGATCACTTCTCGTCCGTCGGAAAAACACCTCCCTCGGACGGCGAGCTGCTAGCAGTGCCAGACGGACTTCGCTCTGCATCACCCATCTCGTGAAACTCCCGCTCACACTCGGCGGGGGTGGAGATCGGGGGTGGCGACCTCTCTCGCAAAGCTGACGATGATCAGCTGCAGGCACTATCGCAACAAATCGGGCTTTGGGCTAGCATTGACGACCCCTGTCAAATCCCTTTTTTACATAACCGGAACTTGGCACAAGAAAGGAGGAAGGAGAACCCCAGAGTGGTGCCGATTTTTCATTCCGCCACCAGAGTCACCCCCCCCCCCCGCATCCCATACGCCGCTTGACGCTCAATCTTTGGGCGGGCGGGGGGAGTCGCGGAGTGAAGGATAGAACTTAACACGCCAGCGGGGGACAGCACTCATCCCAGCAAAAGCAGAAGTGCTAGGGAACACAATTCTCACCCATGCTCACCGGATCCCCTTCCCCTTCAACTGAGCTTATCCCACCACGAGTACCTGGCCACTCACCATGATAGTTCCGGCCATCAACCGCCCCCCCCCCCCAAGCATTAGCGCCCGATGGTGCACCTAGGGGGGCATTGCTGGGCGGAGTGAGCCTAGAGAGGATAAACTTTGGAAAAATAAAAGCTGCCTGCACCTCCCCTCTCCCACCCTCCCCCCCCCCCCCCCCTTAGGCTTAGACTAGGAGGGGGAATCGTGCTCGTGATGAGCTCCTTTTCCATAACTACTGCCTCCCTAATATAACCAGCACCTCCTTCCCCCTCTCCCACCCCCCCGACCCCCCCCCGCACCACGCGATAGTGTCTCAATTGCAAATCACTACTCCTGAAAAACCTACCTAGTCCAACGACGGGACGAAGACAGAAAACTTCATCCGTAACATAGAACTACTGCCGCACATGGCACCAAAGACAGCTCTCTAGAGGAGGATCGACCAGGCCACAACGACGACAGCACGAGAACTGGACACCTAGATGAAGGCGCTATGCGACGTGGCACCAAGTAAGCTTAAACGTCAAATGACGTCACAAATCGACGTAACCCTTTGCATGACGTAGCACGGCGTCTTGCAATGAATACTCGCTAGACAAGAATACCGTGTTTGAAACACAAATAAGTGCGAACAAACACGTTACAGGTGTACACGAAACCCTATCCGTCAATAACACGTTTTCACATTGCTCGACAATACAAAACTTCATCCGAACATAAAATCGGTTCAATATTCCTCAATCACATTTGCTGCAATCATTCTATTAACGCCATCACTCTGATACATCTTCACCCATTTCCTTCAGAACAAAAAACCTAGCAAATCCCCGGAAATTCTAATAATTTACATAAAAAAATCCCAAGTGATACATAAAGCAGCCTCTTGGTCTATATCAATGTGGCATACCACTTCACGATAGCAACCTACTCCCCCTGGCTCACGAATTCCCCGATTCTCGTGACAGTATAGTAGCGGGCAGCAGTCCCACTTACATACATTTCTGTTCAAAAATGCGGCGTGCCCACCCTACTTGTATAGCACCCCTTATTTGAATAAAAAATTACGACAATCATCTCCATTCGCAGAAATAGCGAATTTCCTTGACTTTTCAATTTTTTGTTCTCTTCATTGAATAGTCTTAGGAAGTCACTGAATTTCCTTGTCTTCTTCATTTTTTTTTTCAAATATTCGCTGACTAGTCTTAGGAAGTCACGTTTCCGTGGTAGCATTTATTATCTCGGGTTCTACGGTATGGTGACTGGATCTATAATTAGCAGGCGCAGCTAAGTCAATACACGTGATGTTCACGTGCCGCGAACACAACCGGAAATGAACATCAATAATTCAGTATACCGAAAGTCACGAGTAGTCCGTTACATGTATCCTTTGGATTTAAACCTCGAATAAGGCATTCGGCGTTGATCCAGCCTTTTTAACACATTGCGTACCGCGTGCGCCACCATGTGGCGCACGATTTCAGCGAAAGATCATAGTTTTATCTGATTTATTTGGCATTTTTCAATGCTCCTGAAGTGTTTGCACTCATTTTCAGAACCAGGAAAGCATAAGTATCATCACTGATAAAATTGTTGATATTAATGATGATTCATTTTTTAAAAACATGAAAAAGGTATGGAGATGCTCGTATAAGGGCGGTCCGCAATGTGTTAAAATGCACCACGCATTCTACGTGTATTCAGAATCGTAGTGGATTTTTTAGTGCGATTTTCCCCACACATAAGTTTGCGGGGGCAGCTGAGACTTACGGTAAGAGTTTTATCCTCCCAGACAAGTCTGGTACCAATTAACCGACCCCGGAGGGATGGAAGGGGTTGGCCCGGGCGACTCACGACCCAGGATTTGATCCCCGGACCGGGTGCGTGGTAAATAGCGCCACATGCAGCTAAACCGCTTCCGCACAAACCATAGCAAATACCCAAGAAAAAAAATATGAGATACGAGGTGATCTTAGCTGATTAGTTACCTTGAGATACGCCGTAGACTCCATGATCAGCTTCTATTCGAAAATCGTAGAAGGTTTTCCAATGCGTACCAGGCTCAAAACGACCTGCGGCGATCAATCATTGCTGTTATTCCTTCAGCCCAATACAGTAACATTCCCATGCTTATTTGGAATTCGCACTTACTATGCTGTTCTTTCCCAGTTCTGCAGGGTGTGCCAAAA